TTCTGTCACATCTTTTTTTGCCTGCCCTTCTTTTTTTTTTTTTTTTTCTTTGCATTACGCGGGCCTCTCACTGTTGTGGCCTCTCCCGCTGCGGAGCACAGGCTCAGGACGCGCATTGCCTGCCCTTCTTGCCTCCCTTGCAATTGCACTGAGGACCCACAGAACAATCCAGAGTTGTCTCACCTTAAGGTCCTTAACCTGCAAAGTCCCTTCTGCTAGATAAGGTGACATTCACAGGTTCCAGGGGTCAGGACATGGACATCTTTGGAGACAGGAGCAGAGGACATTATTCAGCCTGCCACGGGGTGTTAATAGTATATAGGGTGTGGGGTTTGCCTAAAGGAAACCCACCTGACTTTATAAAACCCTGTGGTGTTTGATGTCTGACGACAAAGTGTTATGGGCTGAATTGTGTCTGCCTCTGCCACCCTAAATTCACATGTTGAAGCCCTAACCCTGAGTACCTCAGAATGTGACTGTGTGCAGAAATAGGGACTCTAAGTGGGTGACTGAGGTAAAATGAGGCCATATGCGTGGGCCCCAACCCAGTCACGCATGTGACTGGTGTCCTTATAAGAAGAGGAGATCAGGGCACACACACAGGGACTACCACCTGGGGACACGGGGAGAAGACGGCCGTCTACACGCCCAGAGAGGCCTCAGGGGGAACCAGCCCTGCGACACCTATCTCCAGAACTGTGAGACCAGAAATGTCTGTTGTTTAGGCCTCCCCATCTGTGGTGCATGTTATGCAGGCCCCGGGGACCAGCACACAGAGCTGCTACTGAGAGCAGCGCCGCCCACAGTAGCACGTACGGTTGGGTCAGCACTCAACACGGCTTCCCACACTCGTCCTGCCAGGCTGCTCTGTGTGGGTGGGGGAGAACCAGAGATGAGGATACAGGTCAGGATCACCATCTCCAGAAGGAAACACACAGAAAACAAAATGAGAGAACACACTAGGCTCAACAGAGAGGAGGGCCTCAGGAGAGGGTGCAAAGCAGGGTCTTTGTGAGCACCCGACTGCCAGCGGTCAGCAGACGCTTCAGCCAAGTTTATACCAGCGGAGCAAGCCAGGAAGCATCCTGCTCTGAATTGTGAAGGGGAGATAAACAGTAAGGAAACATTTCCTTTCCAATGGCCGGCACCAGGAAGAAAGCCAGACAGGCTGATGCTAGAATGGCTGGTTGGGCGGCCCCTCCAGGGAGCGGGTCTGGGCCAAGCCCTGAGTGGGGAGGAGACATCGCCAGGCAGCCCGGGCGAGGGCCCAGGTTTGGGTCTGGCTGCAGAAGACGCTGGGGAGGTTTGCTGAGGGAGGGGCGGGGGCCACCCAGTGCTGGGCCTTTGTGGGCCGTGGTAGCACCATTCATTCCTATGTAACAAGCCAACCCAAACCGCAGTGGCTTCAAACAAATATTATTTCTCACGATTATACTGGCTGGGGGCAGTGGCATGCTGGTGTTTAACAGCCTTCTCTCCAGAAAACAACAAGATGACCCTGATTTGCAGCATTTACCCATTTCCATGGTGTAAATACTCCTAGTGGGGCCAGTTTCAAGCTACCAACAGTGAGGTCCACAGACTGGATCAAAGGCAGCACCGCAGAGAACCTACAGGTACAGTCGTAGACGCCCTCGGGAGCAGAGGAAACAGCCAGATGCACACGTTTATCAAGAAGGGCTGAGTCCTGAGTGCTTATTACCTTTGTTTAATCATAACTTGAGAATTCCAAGTTTATACAACTTTCTGAAGGGCTGTGTTTCAGTTACCGGTGGGAGTCATTCCTGAGATGGTGACAGTTGTCCCCTGGGAGCTGGCCACGAGGTCCTTCTGCAGGTCAGGGCTTTCAGCTGGCAGATCCGTGGGGCTGGGCCTCCCTCCAGCTTCCCAGCTCCACTGTGGCCCAGGGCAGAGGCTGAGAGTGGGAAGGAACGCACACAGCTCATCTCTGCTGCATTTGCTTTGCCAGCGTCCCGAGGGACAGGATGGAAAGGACGTCCATTTGCAACAGAGAAATGAACCAGCACATGGCACACCCAAGGGAGCGCTGGACGGCTCGACTGGGGGGTCCTCAACACCCCTCACGGTGCGTACTTCATGGCTCCCATCTCAGAGGGGCCGGGAAGGGGTGGGAATGAGCCACAGAGGCCAGATTGGGTGGCAGCCCTGTGTGCTGAGGGCCTCGGACTTAATTCTGCCGGGAGCTACGAATGCCACTGCAGGCCAGCACTTCCAGGGGGAGTAACCGAAACCCAGCAGCACGGTTCCCGTCAGCGTCAGGCCTGGGATGGGCTGAGCTCTGGCAGGCTGCCTGGCCCAGCAGTCAGTCTGCTTTTTTGGTGGTGACACTGGAGCCTGCCTTCCCCCAGCCCCACCTGCTTATGGGGTGCTGGCGGCTGGAAGGTGGTGAGAGGCTTGTGTCTGGCTGCTCATCAGCTTTGGGGTCAGGGACAGGCTTCTGTTTGAACTGGTGGGGAGGCCACCAGTTCACCTGTGTCAGCTTGGAGGAAAGCTGGGGTCTGGGAAGCGGCCACCACACACAGGAAGAGAAGGGTCTCGCATCCAGCCGCGCTGGAAGTCAGGCTCGCTCTGGACTTTCAAACCCAATCCATCCCCCATTTTCTCTTCCTTCCTCCAGAGCACAGGTCAGCTGCTTGGTGCTGGGCTGCTGGTGCCCTCTGCAGCAGCAATCCTGATTCAGAACCTGAGCTTTCCTGGGCATCTTCTCTGCTGGCTGCATGAAGACTGGTCTGGCTGCAGGGCCCCCACTGATAGAGGCCTGGCTCAGAATCCACTCTCTCTGTTTGGGCACTTCCCTGGGGCAAGATCCACCGATGTCATGCTGGGGCTCTCAGATCTGGGCCTGTGATTCCAATCCTGTTAGCTATGAGGTATTTAAGATGACCTGCTGGGTCCTTGGTCACATCAGGAGCGCTGACAGAGGCTGGCCCGAAGAGGACTCCAGGTGGTTGCCTGGGAGCTTGAACCCACAGGCCAGGAAGGGCAAGTGTGCAGCCCCAGGAGGATGCCCAGCAGATGGGAAGCACAGGCAGGGCCAGCCCGTCTGACAGGGGCACCAGGAGCCCAAGAGGGACACGGGTCTGGGGATGGGCTGAGCAAGGCTGTACGAGGACGCAGGCTGGGCCCAAGGAGCCGGCCACAAGCACACGGGAGTCGTCGGGCACGAGCTGAGCCACCAGGACAGGATCACACAGCAGGCTCCAACCCACTGTGGGCTGGATGCGGTGGGGGGTGGCCGTGTGTGTGTCACGAAACAGGAAGTAGAGAAAAGTCGCAGAAACACCGCACGGTGCGCCCTGTAAAACAGCTTGTCAGCAAGCCTGGAGAACCACCACGCCGGCCCGGGCTCCTGCCTCAGGTCAGAGCTGACAAGCTCTGTTCTGACCCCGGTGTGCTTGTCAGAAGTGGGGAATCCAAGTTCCACTGCAGCTGGGCCAGCACCGTGGACCAGCAGTCTGACGCGGTGCATGCCCTGCCCTTCGCTGACGGATCCAGCATAGCCCACGGAAGGCTGCGTGTTTAAGCCTTGGCCAAGAAAGCTGCTACATCTGCTACGGGGCCTGTGTCTCTGTTCTTAGTTTGAGGGAGGGGTCAGGGTCAGAAGTGAAGGGGGGTGATGAGTCAAGGTCCTAAGCGTGGAGGGCAGCTTCGTGCCCGCACGAGCCAGGCCGGGGCTTAGACACAAAGCCGTGCCTTCAACCTGGGACCAAGTCGGGGTTGGCGGATCCAAGGGAACCCGTGCCTTTTCCCAAATGCTCAGACCCGGGCCCTGACCCCAGGTCACACGTGCCTGCAGGGCCTGCGAGGCTAATCCAAGTAGAGCCCCCGGGTGGACTCTGTTAGTCAGCAGGTAACCAGTGACGCCTGCGGCCGGTCCCACCGTGACAGGAGGGAGCACATCACAACCGCACACGAACGAACGTGCCGGGGAGAGAAACAGACACGGCTTGTTTATTAGAGCGCGGGAGGGAGGCCTTCTTCCACGGGGCTGCTCCTCAGAGTCCGTATCAAGAGCAACACAAAGTGGAGAATCGTATTCCTGAGAAGAAGCAAAACAGGTACAATTTCGCAAACAAACGTTAACGGGTGATTTCAGCGAATGATAAACAACTTTTTTTTTTTAAACAATAAAATTTCAAGTATTATTCCAGATGACACGGCAAACCCATAGCAGGCGGAAAGGGCAAGGACTTGTGGAAGCTCTCGGTGGGGAGAAGCTGCTACTGGCAGGCCGGGGCACCACCAGGGACGACCTGCACCCCAGGTCCCTGGGCCACCCCGGCCCCGGCCGCAGGGGAGGAGTGAAGAAGGCGGGACAGGTTGGCAGGGCTGCAGTTGTGCCGAGGAGCCCGGCGTGGCAGTGACCCAATCATGCCCTTGGCGCTGGGGCCCCGGACGTCTGATGATTTTTCTTTTATAAACAGAAACATATGCTTTTCTTTCAAATACCACACTATCTCCCATTTTAGTCAACTTGTAAATTATAAGTTATATCATTTGTGCTACAGTTTGCGATAGTTAAGTCTTATTAGGAGATGAGCACCAAAGCTATGAAAGTGCACAGGTCAGCCGCTGTGCGCGCCCCGGCTGGAAACTTTGTTCCCTTCCCTCAAACAGCACAGCATTTCTGACAAATTCCCCTCCTTCTCCCAGGGCACTTTTCTTGAAGAAGAGACGTCTGCTTTGACCGTGGCTGTGCGAAAGGTACAGAGAGCAAACCTCGTGGTCGTCTTCAACAGGAGGGGACAGCTGACAGCTCCTGCTCTGGCCCAGGGCTCTGGGCGCCACTGGTAGGGGTTCTCGCCGAGAGGGTCTCGCTCCACAAGAGAAATATCGCGCCAGAGTGCCCGACGCAGAGACCCCCAGCGTCCCCTGAGGGGGACTGTGACATGCTCTTAAAGCGTCTGTATTCAGTATTTTCTGAGACACTGTCATTGACCGGCAATACTCCCAAGCCATTGTGCTGCCTCCCTGGATGTTTAGTTCTTGAACCTCGTCTGTTCACAGATGTGATTGAATTTCCTGCAGGGAGACAATGGTGAAATACACAAGAGGGCATCAGAGACACGTTCAACAGAGGAATTCTGAATTGCGCCTGGGGAAGCTACAGGAGATGCAACCCTGTGCTTGGGGGTTTGCAAGGGCTTGTCTCTCATACCATCAAAGAAACTAGCCCCAAACGCAGCCTCTTTTCTCCTTTTTTAAATTTTAAAATGTAAGTGGAACATTTAGGTAATTCCCAGAGACTCAAAGCATCCCCAAGGCACTGCGGGTGACCTGGCGGGGCTCACGCCACCTCCTCTCCCAGAAGACGACTGTATCTTTGCTGCCCTGACCCAAGTGTTTACCGAGAAAGGTTAGCCTGTTACTACTGAAATCTCTTTTCTTAGAATAAAATGGTCTCTTCCACACAGTTAATGCTTGCATACAAAGCAAGCCTTTTCTTCCGCCAAATCACTCCCTCAGAGGCAGCCGCCTTTCCTGGAGCCCTCCTGACGACCCCTAAGCCGGGGCGCTCTCTCAAGTACATCCACTTGAGCCTCAAATGGCTGTTTGGGGTGACAGTTGCCCCACACAGCGTCCATCCTCAGGACTCATTTATGTGATTGCTTCCCTTACGGTTTGAAAGCGTAGGCGAGCCTGCTCCCACGGGCCACCGCGCGTGGCAGCGAGCACGTCAATGTGAACAGCCTCTAAAGACCCCGTGGGAAACTCCCAGCGAGAGCCTGCGAGCCACCACGGCACCAAAGGTAGACCCAGGTGCACGGCGGCGTGGCTCGGGAAGGGAGTTCTCAGTGACCTCAGCCACGGATTCGGAAAGTGCTAAACCTTGAACGTGCGGGCTGGGGACGGCCACCTGTGCGCTGGACACATAGAGGTGGAGCGGGAGGTGAACGTTTGTATGCCAACGTTTCATGAAATGAGATAACAGAAAAGCAGAGTGTCTAAGTAATGATTTTTCATTGATATATACTATGTGACTTTATAAAAGCATGACAACTAAATTAGTTTATAAGTAGAGAGCTGACTAGTTCATGCACATCCCTAAAAGCTGCGATATCAACTCGGCCAAAACGCTTAAAGAAGAGCAACTTCCTGTAGGGACAGCGTGGGTTTGC